GGTTTAGAAAGATCATCGTGGAATTTCAATGGAGAAGTTGACGAAATTTCGATTTTAAGGGGGCACAAGCCTTCTATGCTCCTTCCCCTGGATAACTCAATGCCTCTCCAGTGGTTATGTTAGAGACCTCTTATTCCTAATGGGAAATTATGAAATATGCAATACTCATGGCATACACCATGGAAAAGGTCTATACTTGGTTTTACCCCACTATTGAGGACTCCTCAATCCTCCCTCTCTCTCGCATGGTGCACCCGCAAGCCTACTGTATATAGGCACAAATGCTGTGATCTGTTATGGAAAAGCCGTATGACTGCAGGTTCGATAGTGACATCGATGCAGTCTTATGCAGAATTTAGTAATTTGTGTTTAACCTTATGTTTGAAACTGTTACTGTCAAAATGTTATTTTTCTTTTCAAACACGATCACAAAGGCCTTCGAGAAATCAACTCAAAGGCAATTCTAATAATCTATGTATAGATGATGATATAAGACTGATTCAAGATGTAGCCAATGGCAAACCTGTATTCAAGTCACATGTTTATTGTTTTATTTTTTTTCTATCGCACCCGGCCGTGCGTTTTTGTGCGGCAGCTATGCAAGTCATGTGCAGCACTAGCATCATTTTTGATCCACGCGTATCTCGATGCGTTCAAAGTTCAGACGCGATGTAATGCACGTAATGACATGTGGCATTCTGATGAAAATGTACCATATGGTACGTATCTTTGCCGGGTACCCATATAACACCTTGGTGGAGAGTGGCAAATTCATATTTATATTTTGCCAGAGACATTGGTGCCGCGAACCACATCTCAACAGTGTTTATACAAAGAAGAATGCAACTTTTAGGATAAGCTAGTCTTGGGTATATCGGAACGACTTTAATTCAATCTAAAAACCAAGTAAAGAAGATTAGACGGAGAGGGGGAAATAAAAGGAACGGAAGGGAAAGGAATTAATATGGAAATATGGGATCTATGGTAATATCAAGATCTTACCAGTCCTTCGGGTGTATAGCACAATTTCTGCCTTGTCTGGGTTGGTGAAAATAGCGCTATGTGAGACCGTGACTTCTACCGGAGTTTTAAACTGAAGACCAGGAGGGGATAGCTTGAGCCCAACTGAGATTATAACTTCGTCTTTTTCCAGCTTTAAGTCAGGTGGTATGGTTGTCAATGCTTCTGCTGTGATATATTTTACTCTGTCCACATTGTCAGGTGAAATTGGAACCTTGATGCTGTACTCGTCGAGACTAATAATCTTTGTCTTTTCTCTGATGATCTTTGAACCAGAGCCGAATCGTAGAGGGTAGAGAGCTTGGTCGTATAGCCTAGCTAGGAGGTACTTTAATTTGGAACCAATTGCAACAGCTGACTCTGTTCCCTCATCACTGGAGTCTGTGTCATCATCTTCCAATTGATCCTTCCGAGGATCAGCTGACTTTGTTCTCTCAAACGCATAGTTCTCGCAGAGCTCTTGGCAATCCCCACGATTCATGCGTTCGAATGCCTTAGCCAAGTCCCCGAGGTTCTGAATCTTATTTTGACTCTCAGCAAGAACGAGTAGTTCTTCAGTCGGATTCTTGCACTGCTCCAGATGTTTTATGTATTCGTCAAGTTCAAGCTGATTGGCAAGACCCCTCCAGTCATCAAACACTAGGCTTTCTCTGTTCAACCGGCAACGCAGCTCATGTTGTAGCCTAGGAGGTACTATGGAAGCAATTGGAACAGGGGCAGGGGCAGCAGTATTTCCATGAGGATTATTCACTTGGGAATTGTTGATGACTTTGAAATTGTTGACGTTGATATAGACGTTCCTAGAACGCTGGTGCATATTTCGATCTGCTGAAAGTCCTGGAACGAATTGTGTGATAACGTTTGCCGGAAATGCTTGTGGGGCTAAGAATCCCATTGCCCCCTCTGCTGCAGACTCTAATGAATGGAGGGGCACTGTCGATGATGTCGAAGCATCAAACAAAACGAACAAAAGATGATATGACGTAAATCAATTACATCGTTTAAATTTCCGAAGAGCGTGTAAAGGAAATAAGCGTTTATCACAATATATATACACTGTTGGTCATAATGGTGGAATAAATTTTTTTACCCCGAATTATGGAAAGATTCTAACAATGATTTATTCCTACTAGATCTAGATAATAGTATACATTTTCAGATTTTACTGAATAATAATATGTGAGTGTTTGTTTTGCGTGAATGCTAAAGCATGTGTACGCTACTATGCTAATCTACTAGTAGCCTCTTGTCGATGGCCCTCGTCTTGTTGGAGTCCGTAAATTCTGGCGAGCGAAGCGAGCCAGTGAAACCGAGCGCGAGCGAGGGCCTCTTGACAAGTGATCTGAATTTCTTATGTTTTACATTGTTTGGCGAATATTCCGACCCAACAGAGTTCGGTGAAAGTCATCCAATCAGAGAGAGCTACTATGACGTAATATGTACCGCTCTGTGCGAATTTCTTCCGTGAGAGCGAGACTGGCCGCCTAGTTGTAGTCTGCAAGCACAAACCCTGGTCAGTCGTAAAAGAGAGTCTGCACTATAAGACTACTATAAGCCTTGTACTATAGCTGCTCCTGACCTATATTAACATAACTAGTAGGTACCAGTAGGTAGCTGGGCTAGGCTTCTCTCAAGGCACAATGATTTTTGAATAAAGTGTCAAATTAGGGTCTGTGTTTGCAGACTAGCCTAGTTTGGCAATTCCAATAAACACACACACTCATACAATCGCTGCTGTCTAGACATGCATAATTCAGTAGGAAATCGGGTCTCATGAATATATAATTCAGATCACTTGTCAAGAGGCCCTCGCTCGCGCTCGGTTTTTCTGGCTCGCTTCGCTCGCCAGAATTTACAGACTCCAACAACGCGAGGGCCATCGACAAGAGGCTAATCTACTAGGGGACCTACGTCCTCAAGTCATAACTGACAGTAATGAGGAATAATGCCTCATAAAAGGGCACTAATAAAGCATATCGACATGGTTTTGATCCTGGGGGCTCACAGTAACAAGGCCCTGACATAAAAAAAAATCCTCTATGTGGGCATGCCTTGATCCATAATGAATTGCCCTACAGAGGAATTTTTAATTTTGGGGACCGGGGGAAAATGCAATAAACTATTGATAATTTCTTGCATTTTTTTTTGTTTTTTTGTATTTGTGGGGGCGGCGACGTACCCTAGCCCCCGCTGCGTACAGACATGATTCAGTGGCTAAGCAATGGCCTCGTAACTGTGAGGCCCCAGAATAAAAACCGCGTCGATCAGCTATATTAGTGCCCTTTTGTGAGGCATTACTCCTCATTACTGTCAGTTATGACTTAAGGACGTAGGTCCACTAGTTGATTAGCATAGTAGCACACACATGCTTTAGCAGTCACGCAAAACAAACACTCACAAATTATTATTCAATACAATCTGAGAATGTATACTATTATCCAGATCTGTTAGGAAGAAATCATTGTCAAAATCATCCCATAAATTGGAGTAAAACAAAATTATTCCACCATTATGACCAACAGTTTATATATACAGTGCGTCCCAGAAAAAATTAAACCGAGGATTATCGATGTTTTATCATAACCTAATCACAATTATAATTAATAAATGACACATATTTGTAAAGCTTAGATCCTCTTTTTTCATGTGATGCAACTCATACGAGAACGGCATTGAAGAGAGCCATAGCTTAAGTTCTTCGACTTGCACTCATCAGAGTAAAACGCCAGAATGAAACAGAAAGCCGAAATCGAACAATATAAACGGAAACTAAAAGGAAACAAGGCGCGAATATAACGAGCCCTGCTTGGCTGTCAAAGGTAACGGTAACTTAGACTTATGCCAGCCGTTTTCTGTTTCTGTTTCATTCTTGCGTTTTACTCTGATGAGTGCAAGTCGAAAAGCTTAAGTTATGGCTCTTTTCAATGCTATTCTCTGATTTTGTAGTACTAATCATCTTTTCATCAACTCATATGATGCATTTTTCACGCATGAGTGATACAAAACAATTTGACAAAAGGAAACCAAAAAGTCATTTGGCGGGCGGTGTCTGAATTTCAAAGAGAAAATCACATTTCTAGAAAATTCATTTCCTGCCCTGTTATATGAAACCTCAATCAGGAAAAATGAGCCAGGAATAACAAAGTCTTTTTTTAAAGGTAATGCTTGCATTCCCATAATTTGATTAAACGAATTCGTTTTCACTGGCTGCCTGCCGAAGCAACAAAAAGAGTTGACAAAAGACTTAACTCCGTTTCGTTGACGATCAGCCACGCATCAAGTCTTTCGTCTTATATGTGCATGTCTGATCGTCAACGGAACGGAGTTAAGTCTTTTGTAAACTCTGTTTTTTGCTACGGCAGGCAGCCAGTGGAAATGAATTTGATTAATCAAATTATGGAAATGGAAGCATAACTTTAAACGAACAGGACTTAGTTATTCCTGGCCCATTTTTCCTGATTGAGGTCTCATATGAAAGGGCAGAAATTGAACTTTCTATAAGTGTGATTTTCTCTTTGAAATTCAGATACCGCCCGCTAAATGAATCTTTGGTTTCCTCTCTACAAATTGTTTTTAATCACTCATGCGTGAAATATACATCATATGAGTTGCATCAAATGAGAAAGGAGAATCTAAGCTTGACAAATATGTGTCATTTATTTAAGTTATGTCAATTAAGTTATGATGAAATATCAATAATTCTCGGTTTCGTTTATTGTGGGACGTACTGTATATGAGCTTCTAAAGGACTTTAGATATTATTACCCCGGTTAAGTGCCAGCAATCGTTTCAGATAGCCTGCCAACTTATTTCACATGCCTGCGTCGAGCGTAGCATATATAAATTAATAATTTTACAAAGAATGTTCGTTCGATTCTGTCTGTAACATGAAATTAAATGTCAGTAACTAATCATCTTAATGTTACGATTGATTAAGGAGAAAAAATATTTTTGGGGAGATACAATTGACTTATTTGTTATTACAGAGCCCAGAACACGACTTTGTCTTTCAATTCCTTACCAATTGCTCCTGTTTCTGTTACCAAATCATGTGTGACCTGGTAGGCATGTTCACTGGACGGTGACTCTATCGATGGCGAAGTCAACGGCCTAGGACATGTAAAGACATCAGTATGACTACTTCCGTCTGAAATAAAGCAACGTAAAACAAAAAAAAGTTTTATGAAATGATTAAACCAGACCCCGACTTATGCTGAAAAGAGCTCTGACTGATCCATTATCTATCGCAAGTCGACCCTCGAATTACATTGTATTAGTTTGGTTTATTGATATCATTGAGATAATATCATGGAACATGTAGCAAAGAAATGAAATTTTACAGAATAAAAATTATACGGTATAAAAATAGATTGATAATAGGCCTACCTCAAAGGATATTTAAAACAAAGGCCAATTTCAATAATAAAGGCCGTAGAAGCATTTCGAGAGCCCAATCTCTCCCCCTCCAGAACCGATCCTGAAGCCACAATGGTCATAGTCTTACCCTCTGTGTCTGCAGGCTCAGGTGATGTTGAACCTATCGTTTCAAGATGGTGCTCGCTTCTCGTCAGCTCTTCAGAGAGGTGAGATGCTGAAAATGCAATATTCAATCAAGATCAAATCAGAATCAAATCAGAATCAAATTTTTCGAATTTTTAAAAATTGTCTCTTTACAAAATAAGGACATTATTTAAAGCAAAAAGCTTGCCAACATCCCATTGAAAACGTATTATTTTTTTACACACGTTTTTAGAAAACGTATTAGTTTTTACACACGTTTTTCACTCATAGCCATTTCGGTTTCATGAAACGATGCCCTGCATATCAAAAAGTTTGTGTATGAAACATACAAAGCAAAAACAACAAAAAAGAAAATACATTTTGTAAATCTTACATTTGGATGTTCCCCGTCCAACATCAGTTGGTTCAGCTTTGCCTTTGGACGATGCAGATCCTGTCAGAGTTGATCGGGCAATTGGATTGGCATCCGACACATCTAAATTGTGAATTCATGGTATAAACGTGATGAGAAGCGTTTATCCTAAAATGATAATTTTTCCAAATTGGAGCCACTTTTCATTGTGCTTTTGCTACACTAAATGAAATGTTTAGCGTTGCACATACAAATAATGTACATTTAATATATATACAATTATAAACATAATGTATTCGTATGTATAATGTATAGGCCTAAAGGGTGGCCCAAAACGAACGGACTAGCATACTGTCAATGATGGGGGTCAAATTCACTGGTACCAGCAGTAGTAGAAATTATATACCTCATACATAGATTGTCATTCACTGATTGGTCAAGACTATATCACATGTCAAGGAGCATTTCGATCTATCAAGTATCATTACGTCAGAGGGGTTGATAGCTACTATCAAACCCTGGGATAGGACCCCTAACCCCTCCCGCGACTTAGTTGCGCACACAAATTTGTTTGAGTTGCTAGGCTACCGCAATCGCGCGGTTACGCGCAGCGCGTAGGAATTCAATACTCTTGCCTTGGACTTGATGTTGTATTTTTCTTATTTGGGTTAGTAAATTCCTCTTGATCTCGTTTCCTGTTTTTAGAGCTAGATCTAGACCTACAGCTAGACCTAATCATGAATCAATGAAAAGGATGAGGTATATAAAACAAATATGGACTGCTCTGTAATCGGATGATGGTGGGAACTACCACTCCCTCGGTGGTGTTCACACCGGCCCTTCTATCACCCCCTCGGCTTCGCCTCGGGGGTGATAGAAGGGCCGGTGTAAACACCACCTTGGGAGTGATAGTTCCCACCATCATCCTCATGAGCAGTCAATATTTGTATACTGTTCACATGACAAAATGATACCAGGATCGAAAAAACCGGTTTAAAAAGTTTGTTTTTGTTTTAGGGAGCATTTTGTCCAGTATCAATAAAAATGCGTTTTAAAAATTCGTATAATTTCCCATATCTTTCTTACACGAGCCATGCCGAACGCCTGAAGAGAGAGAAATAATGTTTTGGAATGTTATGTTTTTGTTAAATCTGACGATATGTTACAGCTTGTCCGAAGCTCAGACAAATAACCATTCCTGAAACTGCACTAGAATATGATTTTCTTCACCAGCACTGATATTATACTCCTAAAGGAATTCACGCCCTTGATATTACCGTTGTATATTACTGGAAAGACGATACGCTTCGTGAGTTTTTGCTTCAAGATAAGAGTGACGCGAACTCTGGATACTATTTGTTCACGTGGTTGAAGATTGAACGACATCCGATGGGTCCTCATGTCAAACAAAGCACACTCTTTAAGTTCCTAAGAAAATCAAGGATAACCATTAATTAACACCATACGAAGTTATAGGAATTGTGCCACGGTTCATTCTAATCTAAAATTGATACAATGAATTAAGGCCCATGTTTGAAATTAGTTTCTAAACGAATATTCCCGGGGGGGGGGGGGATACTCAGAATTGGTTTGACGAGGTGTGCCGCTCCAGACTCGAAACCCATACCCATTATTAGGGGTCATTTTGGGTCATTTTTCTCGGAAAAAGACCCCCTTTTACAAATTTGTGGGTGTTCTTCGGGTGTTTTTCAGCTGTTTGCAAACACCTGGAAATTTTGCAAATTTTGTATTTTTTGTAAAAAGTGGGACCAATGTTTAGGGATTTGTTTGTGAAAAGTTACCCATTAGAGCGGCACACCCCCGTATGTCTTAATAAATAGACAGTGGAGGCCTTCTAGAAGCACTACAGCTAACTCCCATGTAGCGCCATCTCGGGTCAGCTGTAGCAGTATTGGCCTGTAAATGGCTGGGATGATATGGTTATCGCTTCGAGCCCTCTGTCTGCGAAGCGGAAACAAGGAATTGGATTACACAATGATGGCAAATTGACCATGAGATGGCGCTGTGCAATGAACAGAACCAGAGCCATCTATATTATGTGAAAAGATGGCTCTGAACAGACACTAAGGCAGAAAGTTCATCAGTTCAGTGTTGATTAAGAAAGCTCTAGCCCGTGTCAATGGTAATGTAGAAAATATTTATAATGCCTTGCATAATTAGTGGCCGACGATTGTATGTCAGGATAATTTAAACAAGAAAAAACAGTATCATTAGGTGATACGTAACGAAGTCTACGTATCACCTTTTGATTTCGTCAAGATTTTTATTATTTATTTATTAGGTGATACGTAACGAAGTCTACGTATCACCTATTGATTTCGTCAAGATTTTTCTTTCTTCTTCCTATTATTCTTCCTCGATTTTGTTCGCAGGATATCTCAAGACTGAATAAAGCCATTGTCATGACACTTTCAATGGTGATAGATCTTAGTCTAACTTAGAACTGCGTGACTTTTCAAAGACTCAAAGTCATCGTGACGTCATCCAGGCGCCATTTTGTGAAAATCAACTTATGATCATATCTTCATAACGGAAAGTAATTTTTCATTCATATTTATCATGAATAAGATCAATATCCGTCCGGTCAATTTTAGGTCAATAAACGTGCGTAAACGCGCGCGTACGCGTTCGTGCGCGCGTTAATGCGCGCGCAAAAATTTAAAATGCTCTAAATCGTCTTAAATTTTTTTTGCATACGTTTCAGGCCATTATAAGCATTTCATAAAAAATCACGCAAAACACGCATTTTTGCACGTTTTCGTTCGTCACGGCCGAACGAAAAATAATACCCCAGCAAAAACTTTTGACAGAATATTCCTCATATTTTTCCGAACAATTTGATACCCTTTTTATCTCTTGATCACTATTAATAACGGAATGAGCGTCCGTTCAAAATAACCGTCCGTACGCACGATTTTTGCAATACATAGCATATATGGGCAAAAACATGCCTATAAAAAGTCCATTGGGATGAATAAGGACTGCCAATTTTTTTTTTCTTATTTAGATAGAGTATGAGTCGGAGGTATGATTTCATATCTCATTTGGCCATTAAGTACATCTTGACGTCATCATAATGGCCTTGGAAGTCAAAATACAAAAATGCATATTATGACGTCATTATATTTATGGAAAATGTAGTGTATTTCTCTCGATATTCATCGATTTTCTTTGAAATGTCGATATGTTGTAGATAAGGCAATTCTCTACAAGATCACTTTTCACTAAGTTTCATTTTAATGAGGTCATCATAGTACAAAATTCAATTAAAGGCCACATGTCAGAATTTTCGTCATTTGCGTGTTATGTCTATGGAAGGTGAATTTCGTTCACATCATGAATCTACATGGCATTCATCTATGAACACTATCTATCTTATGTGTGCTCTGTTTTTTCTCCCAAATGTGGGTATGTTATAGCTGAGACCATGGGCTATCAAAACGGTGCTTTTAGTTTTTTGATCAGATGATGAGATCATGTCACAATTTTTAGTTGAATGTTTAAATGATGAATATGTCACGTATGTCCTAATTGTGAAACTTAAACGTTAGCAGTGTCCTCGTATTGAAATTATGTAAGGAAACCCATTTACTTTCTAGACTTTACTCTCAGACACTATTGAGTGACTGACTGACATCTTTTTTTCTCTGGTAATAAAATACATAAAATGAGCGTTATACATAACATGAGCATTCGGCTACATTAATAACCCACTCTGTTCTCATTGTTCATTTCCTATTCAAGACTTGAATAATGACGAACTTCATTCAATATTTGGTAGTAATACTACAGATACTTATACTGATATCAACGATTTAAACTATTTATCCGAAAAAGAATATGAGTTTCATTTCAGTAGGTTTCTGAACTGTAAATATTATATTGATGAGGATTTTACGACTGAATTTAGTAACATTAACTATCATTTTAGTATTTTACATTTTAATTCGCGTAGTTTAAACATACATTGTAATGCTTTATCCAATTTCATCTGTACTTATGTATAGAAACTTGGGTTAATGATAGTACGCCACTATTATTCAATGTGTCTGGTCATTCATTTATACAATTTAATCGCCAAGTAGAAAAGAGTGGAGGTGTTGGTCTATTGGTCGCTGACAATTTTGAATATGAAATACGCAATGATATATTTATATTATACCCATCATACAACTACGAATCACTGTTTATTGAAAGCAATTTGCCGAGACATAAGAATATTATTGTAGGTGTCATATATAGGAAACCCCATTCAAATATCAATGATTTCATCCCTGTCTTTGAAAATGTTTTACAAAAAACACATACTGAACATAAATAGGTTTATATAATGGGAGATTTTAACATTGATCCCGTGAAATTTACTGGCAATGCTGTATGTAATTTCTTGAGCGAAATACATTCACATCTTTGTATTCCTTTAATTGACAAGCCTTCAAGAAAGACTGACGGATCAATATCCCTCTAATCCACATTCCTTATACAGTGACAGTATATATCCATCCGATATTTAAAGGTTTTATTTTCAAGCAACTAGTGAATCTCACGTCGACAACTCAAAATGATCGCTAATGTATTCTCACATTTATTTTGACTTTTAATTTACGCCGGGACATCGTGACGTCATACACTATACATTTTTAATTATTCAGCCATAAGCTCTTATTTATCAATTACATTTTCATTTCTTTGAATAAGATAAAAATCGTCAAAATGCGTTCTTCATGATGTAAATTAGAGTCAAAGGTGTAACTGGTTACTGCACAGAGTCAATGGTCATATATTGTCTCAATCTATCTTCCCTAGATCCATAATGATCAAGGGATCGACACAATTTAAACTTGACATATGGATAGATCATTATGGGAAGAGCATTTTATAAAATAATATGATATCGTGTAATGCATTCTTTGTTATGTAAACCAATATCATACGTATCACCTAATTCGTCTAAGTGACGAATTAAAGTCTAGTTTATTTATTATTATTCTTCCTCGAATTTGTTCGCAAGATATCTCAAGATTGAATAAAGCCATTGTCATGAAACTTTCAATGATGATAGATCTTAGTCTTACTTAGAACTGCGTGACTTTTCAAAGACTCAAAATCATCGTGACGTCATTCAGGCGCCATTTTGTGAACATCAACTTATGATCATATCTTCATAACGGAAAGTAATTTTTCATTCATATTTATCATGAATAAGATCAATATCCGTCCGGTCAATTTCAGGTCAATAAACGTGCGCAAATGCGCGCGTGCGCGTTTGTCCGCGCGTTTACGCGCGCGCAAAAATTTAAAATGCTCTAAATCATCCCAAATTTGTTTGCATACGTTTCAGGCCATATAGAGCATTTGACAAAAAATCACGCTCACGCGCATGCGCGCGCGTTCTTTGCGCGTACTAGCATTTTGCAACATAAAATCGCCGAATTTTCTCTATCATCTTATTTGGCACATTTTTCCAAGCATTTTGATAACTTGTTCATCTTTTAATAACGCAATTAGCGTCCGTCAAAGTTGACAGTGCGCGCGGACCTGCGTTATCTTTATCCACAATACATGAGCAAAAACATGCCTATACAAAATTCGTTGTAACCCTTCAGAATAGATAGGAACTCCCAATATTTTTTTCATATTTAAATAGATTATGAGTCGTAAATATGATTTTATGTCTCATTTGACCCTCAATTAACTCATGACGTCACCATAATGTCCTCCAAATTCAAAAATTTAATTTGCATGTTATGACGTCAGCATATTTTTCGAAAATTGATTGTATCTCTGTAAATATTCATTGATTTTCTTTCAAATTTCGATATGTTCTAGCTGAAACAAGTCTCTACAAATATAGTGTCCACAATTTTTTATTTTGACAAAAGCATCATGGCGTATTTTTGCGATTAAAGGAGGCATGTCAATTTTTCACATTTTGCGTGTATTCTCTATGGGACATGACTTTTTCTCAAAACTGGATTCTACACTCCTGTCTTTCACGAGCAAAATCTCCGTTGTCTTAGCTTAGTTTTTGCTGAGCTTCGAATATGTTGTAGCTGAGACAATAATCTATCACACGTGTACCTTTCATTTTTCGATCAGATGCCGGGATTATGCTCATATTTCACTTGCAAAGTAGGATTTGAGAATTCCATTTCCCGTTTACGTGTAATCGCTATGGGAAATGTTTTGGTATATCGGTAACGCACTTGACTTCCATTCTCGAGATCCATGGTTCGAGTCCGGGTGTCTCCAACAATATTTGTCTTCATTTTATTTTTTGACCTTTCACTGTACCATCTCCTTTGAGTATTATAACACGTAGAATCGCAAATAATGTAATAAACAACCCCATTTTCTTTATTATTACCCTATTTTCACTTAATCCACTACTTTTTGCGTTTAATCCCTATAGGAGATTACTTTTTCTCAAATCTGGATTCTACATTCCTGTGTTTTGAGCAATATCGCCGATATTTCTGCTTGGATTTTGTTGATATTTGAGTATGTTGTAGCTGAGACAAGTTTCCACGAGATTTATGTAGACTATCTAACATTTTCATGACGTTATCATAGTCAAAAATTCAATCATAGGTGACATGTCAATTATCATATATAACAATCCTCAATCGGATACCTGGAGGGGGCGCTATACCACTTTCAATCATGGTCATCTGGAAGGCATTGTTCTCAATTGCATCTCTCTCTCTCCTCTCTCTTGCTCTTTTACTTCTCCTCTCATGTTCTGCCCCTCTCCTTTTTGGTATGTCTCTGCATCTATCTATCTCTCTTCTCTTTCACCCTCTCCCTCTCTCTCTCTCTCTCTCTCTCTCTTGCCTTGCGTCCCTCTTATTCTCTTGGTCTGTCTCCCTCTGCCCTACAGTTGAAACTTGACTCATGGATAGACCATAATGGGATTAGTAAACGAAATATGAAATCGTGAAAATGCGTTCTTTATCATGTTACACATGAGCATACGTATCACCTAATTCGTCAAAGTGACGAATTAAAGTCTAGTTTATATTGAGATTCTTACCTGTGTTGACACTTCGTCTCCATTTTCCAGATGTCTGACAAGTAGGGGTCCTTGTCCCCAATATACACAGTATTGCTCACCAGGAAAGGCTACCCTGTACTCTTGAATAATGGTATCCTGCAAAAGGTTGAACATTATGTGGATCCATATTGACAATATAATAATGACAATAATAGTAATAATAATAATAATAATGCAATCATTGCAATAATGCTGTTCTTCCAGAGGGCACTGAAGTATACTACATCAATTGCCAGGTACTCAGATAGACATGGGTTGCAAATATGGGTTATTGTTTTGTCAATGAACGTTAGCGCCGGGCTGGCATTTGAACTCTCAACCCTTGGATTCAGAGTCAAGTTAATAAATAAAAAATACCACGAAACCTCCACACAAAATGGGTGATGAATCTTTTATGATTCTCGAACTGATCATTTACTTCAAGATGTGAAAATCTAGTTGGAATTATTAGATCTGGGATTTCTTAATATTGGTTGTGAATTGATTCATGCAATTGTACGTTAGTGGTTAGGGTGACGAACTTGACTTTACACGAAATTGGATGCAAAATGATGAAATCGATTGGACAAAGTCTGAAAGTGAATGACCAAATACGAAATTGACTACGATATGTGCAAAATTAGGAAGTTCTGAGACGAAATTGAATGAAGAAAAAAAGAAGATTAATACCCATAACTGGCGCCAAAAATATACCGAACTGTTAAATCATGATAAATCTACCTCTTTCAGGCCGCAGAAGTCGTCTTTGATTACGAGCAAGATGTAGTTTATGGCGTCTCTGGATGTTGACAGGGGAACATACGGCGTACAGATGAGCCGTCTACCAACGAATGGCATAACGGACTTTGTCATAATTGCTTTGTGAAGGCGAGAAGATGTCCAGTAATCAGTCGCAAATCTCCCCAGGTCCGCCACTTTCCTAACAAGGTATTTTACAATATCAACATGACCCTTAAGTAATGCTATGTGAAGAGCTGTAACCCCATCTTTATCACCAGCTTCAGTGCCTGCTCCTTTGTTCACGATATACTCGACGACTTCAAGATGGCCTTCTTGAGAAGCACAAGACAAGGGTGTCATGTCAGCTTTGTCACATTTGTCAAGCTGTGCCCCTTTAATAACAAGGTATTTGACAATATCAACATGACCCTTGACTGATGCTATGTGAAGACCCGTAAGCCCATCTTTATCGCCAATTTCAATGCCTGCTCCTTTGTCAACGATATACTGAACGACTTCAAGATGGCCTTCTTGAGAAGCAAAAGACAAGGGTGTCCTGTGGTTTTTGTCACATTTGTCAAGCTGTGCCCCTTTGCTAACAAGGTATTTGACAATATCCAGATGACCCTTGAGTGATGCTATGTGGAGTGCTGTTAACCCATCTCGATTACAGTTATCAATATTTGCTCCTACGTTCAGTAAGACCTCGATAATACCAAGATGGCCTCTTTTTGTTGCAAGACACAAGGGTGTCATCCCGCTCCTGAGTGCTTTGTCAACCTCTACCCCTTCGTTAACGAGAACTTTGACAATTTCAAGGTGTCCCCCAAATGAGGCCAGACTAAGTGCGGTCCAACCATCGTCAGTGCTCCTATCCAGCTCTGCTCCTTGACTGGTTATATATTTCACTCCATCAATATTACCAGTTTGTGCAGCAGTAAGTAGAGCTGTACACCCACCTTTACCAGAAGTGTTAATGTTGGCTCCTTCTGTCAAAAGGTACTCTGCAATGTCAAGATGACCACCGTCTAATGCAAGGTGTAGAGGTGTCCAGTAATCATTAGCTAGTCTCCCCAGGTCTGCCCCTTTACTGACGAGATATTTGACAATATCAACATGACCATTAAATGATGCTATGTGCAGAGCTGTAAACCCATCTTTTTCACCAACATCAATATCTGCTCCTTCGTTTACTAACAGCTCTACCACATGAAGATGGCCGTTCTGTGAGCATAAGTGAACCGATGTCTGTAGGTTAGCATCGACCACATTCAATTTTGCTCCAAGATTGGTTAGGCATTTAACCGTTTGCAAATGTCCGTTTTCCGAAGCAATGTGGAGGGCCGTCTTGCCAGACGCATCCGAGCAGTTTACATCGACTCCTCCCGAATCCTCTGACTTGTCTTCTGAGACGATTAATGATTGTATCTTCTGGACGTCTCCTATTGCTGCTGCTGAAAACAGCGCCATATTAAACGTAATTCACACCCACTACGTTTTTCTCGTATATACTACCGTGCTCTCCAAACAGCATGTCGCATATAAATTGTCATTTGACATTGAACTACTGTTTAAATTAGCCCGTACCCCTTTAGTAGCGTTATTTATTTGCACTATTCTGAGGAGCAATCAAGCGTGATTATATGAAAGCATTCTGTAAATTGGACTTTGCATTCATATCCATATTCGGCTTCAGAAGTCCGACTACATTACTGTACAGTGTATTGCAACAATACAGAACTATTGCCTTGCCATTTTTCTCTATTTACGGGGCCTGAAATATACCTGGTTTCAGATTTGCGTTAAAGAAAAAAAACATGGCGGATCAATATTGTATTACGCCTCATTCATAACCAGTGCTTGGATGACGTGCCCCCTGCCAATCCATCACACACACAAACGAAAACCAACGTACACACACATGCACACAACGATATGAAATATGAGAGAAAACAGGAAAAAGAGAGAAAGACGAAAGGGACAGAGAATGATAAAGAATTCCACCTATAAGATCACTTTTCTTTAACACTCTACATGACTGTGTAATGATGTAATAGGTTGATACAGAGTACCCACTTCATTTATCTAGAATGGGCAGAATATAAACCAAATTTGTCAGTATTATCTCCATCAATAATAAGCATTATAAGATGCTAACAGAGTGCTTATTATTCGCCTCTCTCAGTGTACATAAATTATGCACTTCATACTCGAACCCTTTGTTTAAAATGTATAACTTTCATTATTCTCATATTGAATTCATACATAGAATTTCGTAAGTAAAGAAGATGAACTAAAATCCTCGCTTTTGAGAATCAGTTCTGAAATAAAATAGACAAATTTTGATTCATGGGTGGTTCAACTGACAGAAGATGCCAGACCAACAACAGACCAGACACACTATAACATTGCCCCGAATCGCTAAGAAGTCGGTTTTCGAGGTATGATTAATACCCTGGTCACACTGGCAAACCGACTTTGTACCGACTCCAACAAGTTCAAACATCCTTTTTTGGCCTCTGTGGATAATGTAATTGGTTGTCTGGTCTGGTCTGGGTGTGGATGTCTTTGTATAAATTTGTCGTAGTACGTATTACAAGAATAAGGTTCACTTCTATTTTTCTTCGAGGATCTTTTTCGGTAGACTTCAACTGCTTGAATATCACCTTTATTTTCTAATCCATGAAGAAGACAATATTATGGTTTGTTATTGTGGTGTCACTTTCCTCCAAAGTGTTCAAAATAAATCATTGTTATAGTAATGGATTTTGAAAAACTATCTCTTTCTTGAAATTTTCTTTTTTATAAATGTAAAATGAATCGGGGGCGGAAAGAACAAAAGATCTCAGATATTTACTTAGTGTAAGGATTACTTAATGCAGATATTGTGTTGCTAGAAACATACAGTACTTCTGATAAGATATATGTAGTTTAATGTGGGATGGGAGTTGGTATTTCAGTCATGATAGTACTTAACAAAGTAAAGGTGTTCTTGTGTTGATTAATTCACATTTAGATTTTAAGGTTCTTTCTTTAGTTTCAGATCAAATCGGGAGATACATTCCAATGAAAGATATTCAACAGGATTTAGAAATTATGAAACATGGCAAATGTATATTTTCCAGTACGAGGAAAGGTGTTTCAATTGCTAGAGTTTTTGATGAATTTGAAAAGAGATTTGGATAGTACGGGTAGGGGAATGAGATACGTATAATAGGAGGATATTTGTTCATGATGAGTAGTCTGATATCGGTCTCATTTATATGATTGAGATATAAAGTGAGAAAGGATTGGTCACAGATAGACATCAACAATTAAATCGGTCAGTGTAGAATAATTTGTAGACCAGTTCGTAATTAGCACATGGTTCAAATCGCCTCAAACATCCACAGATATTCTAACTTCTGTACAAAGTAACCTAGGCCTTCAAATGTCAAATTGTATACAAACTGGAGTACTGGATCCGAGAAAGTCGTTGCTGAAGGTTCATTTGTGGGTTAAAATACCCTTAACATACCTTTAATTCAGTATTCTGAAAGTCAGAAGTTTTCAGAATATCACCCCAAAATGTATTGCTTGATGGTATGAAATATATATCTGTTGTAAGTAAATTGCCCCTAGAATGGTCGAAACCTGTGGCGCTGAAGTTTTTAAACATTGCCAAGAATCGGGTATTTCTCTAAAAACAACCAGCAGCTACCTAAATGCAATACAGATTAGCGTTCACTTTGTTGTCAAATACACACACGCATGATACATGTAATAATCTCAGCAATTTATTCTCTTTCTGCCAAAATTATTTGTGTATGAAATCCTTGACTGATGAAGCATTGAGAGCTCTACAGAGTGAGCCAGAAAAAAATGTCCCACTTTTTAAAAGTTGTATTGTTTGAAGTATGAATATATAGTCGTAGATTTCATGATATGTCTTGATAGAGTTATCCTCCCAGTACATAAAGGTACCATTTTCATTTGAATCTATGTATGCATGCATGACTGAACATCGGACATTCTTTACAAGACTGACAGATCTCCCTGGCGCCAAGTAGCTAGGTGAGGAATAAATTAAAATAGTGTTTTGAACACAGACTGCCAGACAGACAAGGCCCACCCAAACTGTTACTTTTTGTCGGAAATTCTTCTTCTCGTACGAAAAGTTGAGTGGGCGCTGTCCTCTTGGTGCGTATTGTGAGATCTGGCAGTCTTGTAAAGATTGTCTGATGTTCAGTCATGCATGCAGAGATTCAAATGAAAATGGTACCTAATGCTATGGTCACATTAGCCAAAAGTTGCCTGCTCGGCGGCCGAGCGGCGAGATTTTAACCAATTCTGCCCGGCGGCTGCCCGGCCACCGAGCGGCGGCCGACCAGGCACCGCTCGTTTTTAGGGCATCGCTCGGTCGCCGCTGAAGTTTTAGCGCGGAGTTAAAATTTGGGCGGCGCCTGCTCACTTTTCATTCGCCGCCCAAAATACGCCCGGTGCCTGGGCGGTCGCCGCCCGGGCACCGACCTAATCGCTGGGCGATGCCTTATTCCAGCAGCGACCGAGCAGGCTACTGATCGGTCGGTCGCTGCTCTGATTTGTGACCATAGCTTAAATGTACTAAGAGGATAAGTCTATCAAGGCGTATCATGAAACCCATGATTAAATATTCATACTTCAAACATTACAACTTTTGAAAAGTGGGACATTTTTTCTGACTCACTCTGTATAGGACCGCGTTCCTGTCAATACCCATTTTGAATGACTGGTATTCTAACGTCATTGGGTGTGCAAATATATAATTTATTTTCAAACTGAGATTCTCACAATATATTCAATTTAATTCGATTCAATTTATTTCAAACACAAATAAAAACACATATCATATAAAATATATAATATAATATGCTATCCATAATACATTGTATGTAGGAGTGCCCCATGGAAGAAGGCACTAAGGAGACAAACAGAAAATACTGATATTTTTGTACACAACAAACGAAAGAATTGTCCACGAATACATCACAATCTATTGACCCAATTGCCAATTTTGAGATTCGCATATAGATTTAGAGATATCATTTTTCAAACATTCATAACTGCTTTATTATTTAACCGATTTATTCAAACGTTTGCAATCATGAGTTTCTTATTTTTCTGCTTTCACACAAATTTAGTGAACTTATAACAAAGGAACGCCTATCATACCTATCTATAACGAATATCATCATGATATACATAAAAGTTCAATTAATCCAATGCAATTAAAAATATATATGTACATAAAGTACACACAAACAGTTTGATAAGTATGAAGAAGAATAAACGTCGAATAAAGGTAACATAAAGGACGAACCCCTTTGTAATAAACGTTTAAATGAGAAGGATCTCAGTACGCAAAAGGTAATAATTTTCAGTTTTTTATAAGGGATCCCCTTTAATTTGGCAGATTTCTTCCTTCCTTAGTTGTCTTCTTTATAAAGATTTTGTCTCTCTCTTATATATATTTTGTTTTTTAATGACATTAAAAAAAAGGATACTCGCATATGAAAGGCAATAAAATCGCTGGTCTTGCCTTGCTCCTGGCCACAGGAGCTAATGTTTTAATTATCTGAAACATAATATTCAATTTAACACCTGTGGTTCCTTCTAGATACTTTCAAATGTTGAATTAATTTAATTTGATGTGATTTGAGTTGATGTTAATTCACTTCCATATACATGTACATCACTTTTCTGGTTACAATCCTGTCAATGTTTATTATTTTTTCCATTAGATTTTTGTATTTGATAGATTTATTTACGAACAGTACTATTCATTTAATACAACGATATTTATATATACAAGAAGAGAAAATATTGGTTGGTAAATTGGGCGGATAATAGCATATGTGCTAGTCGACCCTAACGCCTTATGCACAGCTCAACAGTGTATTCTGTACAAGTAACTTTCAGAAAACAAAACAAAAACAAAGAAATTAATGTACTATTGCAATCAATACTATAAAAATATATAACTTTAACAATGTCTTACAAAATACGAAATATAATTGTTGTACACATACAGACTATTTGCATGGATTTTCGATTCATGATTTGTTCAACAAATGTGTTGTAACATAATCTGACATTAATAGGTAATCAAGTAACTAACCACAAGAGACAATGGAAATCGACCATGTGTCGTTCTAAATTTTGGCAGACGTAATTGTTAACCTTCTGTTTGCCTTGTGGAGTAACTATACTCTCTCTATATATATACTCTATACACTATACACTATTTATCAACATAATATGAGACAAACTTTTATTAAACAGATCAAACATGAAAGTAGTTGAGCTGTATGAGTAATTCACTCTCTAAATGAAAAAAGCACGAACTGCTATTTTCTGTGAATACAATATGCTTCTTAATAGGATAACCTTATATTGCTTCCCCACACCTGTGTGGTTTTATCCACGTTTTATATGATAATGGATAATGTCAA